CTTCCTACCGTTCCCTAATTTCCCAAGAGTGCACATTGTAATCAAAACAGTTACAGGCACCTTTGGTGCTCAAATAGTTTTTGTGTATCGAGTTTTCACGTACTGGAACATTTCAACGGTTGCTTTGAAAGTGTTATGAAGTATTCTGTATACTTGGGCCAAAACTATTGATTATATTAATTGATTTTATGTTAATTAATACGTATTTGTTAAAATAATTGTTAAAAATGCACTAGTGCTCGACTGATTTTTACTCTATTTTTTGTATGATCTATGCCTTTTTTCTTGAGTTCCAAAAACTAAACTTAAACTTATAGGTAGCATTGTGGTTGAACCCTAATTGTCACCTCCAATTAGGGTTCGTTTCGGAAAATTGCTTTAGTGTACGTGCGGGGCAGTGCGCTGGGCAGCTGGTTTGCGCTGTCTCCACAGGGCGCAGCGACCTCCAAACGCTCCGAGTGCACCTCCACCCACGGGATGCCAGCTCTCGATCATCCTTCTCTTCTCGTACTCGACACGTTCAATACTGGCTTGCATGTACTGTACCTTATACCTCGACTAACGATTCTAGAGGGGTGTTTTACTGTTCTGCAGTCTACCAACATCAACTTGGTCGATTTACAGCCGCTCGCATGAATTCAGTTCTTTCTCATGGCTTCTATGATGCGAACTATTTCACTTTAATACTCCGGAAACTCAATGCACTTAAACAAAGTTCCAGCTTCTCGTTCAAATTCGTGATTTTAATTCCGGTTTAACTAACAGTTGCTTTACGATTCTATTGCTCTTTCACAAAATGGCTGCTCCCCCAAAATTCTCGTGCAAACAGCACCATTCATACCACTACGTATCATACTGGAAAAAGTGGCTCACTACATGGCGTCTCGCTAAAGAAAAACTCACTTCTCGTATCTCGGCGTCTCGTACAAGAATTCCGCTCCGTTCTCGCTACTTACGCGACAGCCTTTTCCTTAATCACGAGAAATTACTTTTCATTCAAATTATTACTTTGACTTTAATGTTAACATTTTTTATCAAGCGTTTTATTTTCAATATTTTTTTAATTTCCAAGCTTCTATACACATTTGATACCTTTTCTTAAGATACACTAAACACATATGACTTGATAACTTTGGTGGCAGAAGTAAACAGTTGATTTGCTGAGGTAAGTAATATTTGGGCTTAGATTGATTGACGGCTAAGGTCATTGATACCGTAAGTGTAGTGCATGTCTTTATCGTGTGAAATGATGCATTCCCCGTGAGATCAGGCGCCGATCTCCCCGTCGGCTTGCTGGATTTTCCCCAACCCGGTACCTCTCACCAGCTCCGGGCCAACGCCCCAGCCGGGGCAAGCTCTAAGGTCTCGATTGGTCTCCTGGCATGTGTTGTAGTGTAGTGCTTGTGTGTGTAATTAAGGGGTGAGGATAGGACAAAGAAGAGGCAGGAAAGATCGTGCGCGGCCCATGGCCCGTTTGTTAGGGTACTGCTTCGTCATTCGCCTGGTGTTGTCCGGAGAAACCACGGAAAGCAGCCGGCCACTAGAATTCTCCTCCAGTCAGCGCTTCATTGCGTCCTACCTATGAAGCTAATGTAGAAAATCCTGCCACCCAAGGCGGTCATTTGCCGCGTATTTTCTCTCTTTCTCGTCAGAGAGAACGGCTGAAAGAGTTGGTCCCTCGAGAATCTCGTGCAACGAGCCCGCATTCTCGAGAACGAGGCGACTCGATATCCTCGTAGCCAGGGCCGACGGACGAAGGGCTTGCCAACGACTTTCGCAGACATTAGCACAAGCTCGAGTGACCATGGACTTTACGTTTGGCGCAGAGCTTCGTGACACCAGATACCGCGAATAAAATGTGTGGAATTTCTCTGCGGCCTCTTTTCTCTCTCTTCCTCTCCCCTTTTGACTCTCAAACACACACATAAAGAAAGGCATACATTTCATGCATACTGTAACGTTTCATGTGGTGAATTAAAACGCAGGTAATATTTTAACAGACGTTCGTTTTGTTTCTTAATGATACACTAAAAAAATTGAGATATTTACAGATAGGTTGCACAGTCCTTGTGTTCTTCACATGGTTATTTCCTTACACACGACTCACTTCTCTTGATTATTTATTTACACTGTTCACTACTTCTACACTAACAGTCCGAAACACCTACCACTGTCCCATGCACTGACCACAGTCCACTGAGCTGACCACAATCCACTGCGCTGGCCACAATTCACGGGGCTGATCAGGGACCTCTGCACTGCTGTTTACCTTCTGTTCACCACTATTCACCGCAATGCACACTTCACAGCTCAGCTTCCACTTCACACTTCATACTGACACTAGCGGCCGCCGGTAGTGGCGAATTTATACCTGGCTGGCGCCCGCCTGGCCCTATCCGGAACTTGCGTTATACTTTTACGCGACTCGCGAATAACCCGGAAACGTTCGGTTCGAGGGACGCCGGCAGATGACGCAATCCGCGCAGCGAATTCCGACAGATGATGCAATATTCGTAAGAATATATATATATATATCTATATATATATATATATATATATATATATATATTGATTAACACGGATAATTACAATTAAACATAGAGCATCTTAAGAAGTCTGATAGTATGCTGAGTAGTATGTTCCATCAGCAGTGAGGATTGCCCGCATTTCTTTTCTCAACACCTGCTTCGACTTCGCCGGACAAGGACCTCTCCGAAATATTTATTACTAGAGTCAGATTACCGAGTAACTACTTAGCACGTTCCGGAACAGTTTTTCAAGAGATATTAAGAGTTCTATTGTACACGTTGATTCAAAACCTTTTTACTCGCACTTTTGCTTGCCCCTCTTTCAACACTCGAGTGGCTTGGGCTGCTTACGAGAATATTCTGTTCCGACAAGGGTACGGGAATCTAGTGATCGTCTGGCTTGCTTCCTCAAGAGGAAAAGACTCTCAATGAACAGCACCCTCTCGCGACCTTGGCTGGGCAGCTCCTCCTCCACGGCCCTTCACCCTTCTTGGGCCGGCGAGAATAAATCACAGCTCGTGCGAGAAACAAGGGAGACAGAACGCTCGTTTCATCGTCTCTACCTGCCATCGTTGGGACTCGAACACTAGGTCCTAACGGTCAAAGCCACTGCAGTGACATCAATTGATGCCCTGTGCCAGCCGATATTTGAGCTTAGCTTTTACTCAATTCCCAACATGTTAGTGGCTCGTTTGTTCAATACGTTGAAGCAATGCATGCAGAGACGTATCTACGGTGTGCCAGACATGGCACGTGATATGGGCGCTCCCTCCATAAGGGGAGCTATTTAGAGTATATTAATAGCGGCTCCGTGGGGTAAGCAAGGTATGCGCTGCCTTCCCTTCTGAATATGTATTAGTTTGATATACTTCGTAATAATAAATATTAAAAGACTCTTGGAATTTTAAAATGGTGTATTATTTATCTGGAATAGTAGTTTACGAAAAAGGGTGCGCAACAGGTGATTCACGCACGAGTCCAGTTTGACGTCCGAGCGCAGCGAGGATGACAGACGAGTGCGGGAAGCACCTCTCGCTCGCGTTGCGTGTACTATATTTTAACATGCCGTGAGGAAAACGCAATGCGTCAAGTAAAGGAATATGCATTTTATTTTACATTTCTTGTACAAAAGTTTATGGATTCTGGTCAGTGTCATAACACTATTGTTTGAAAATAATAAAGTAAGACGTCGTCAAGACGAAAGACAATTGGGAATCGTTACAGCTGTTTTGTACAAGCTTAGCGATGTTTCGCACACTGTGAAAAAATTAGCAGTTTCACACACGAAAAACAAGCTCGAGAAACCGCGTTTCGTGCACGGCGTGTTAAAAACATTTATTATCGTGGCACGCGTACGCCTTGAGTTCTGTCTCGTCTCTTCCCGCAGACATGCGTCCCCTTGCACCTCTTAGGGCAGGTAGACACGCTTGGCATCGCTTAGGCTTAGGGCGCTGCTTGGCATCGCAACGATGTCTCAAAAAAGGCCATGTAGTGAATGTAGAACAGTGGCATGCTGTATCCATAATTAACTCATACGCATTGTGCGTGTGCCAGCAATTTCGCTTGCTGCCTGCTCGCACGAAAGACTCCGATTTTCATTCACGCGCATGCCGCGTAGCGCGTGAGTTTACTGTTTTATTGACGAGTTAACAAGCGGAGAAACTGAGTAGGAGGCATTTATTTTTTTCATTTTAAATTAGTATGCTGCGGATTATTAGTGTTACTTGATTTTCTATATTTAAATCTGATTTTACGTTAATATTATGCCATTCAGTGAATTAACTACTGCGTACACCGTTTTTTCTTTTTAATGACGAAGAAAATTGACATTTTGGTCAATGGTCGACCTACTCCTGTGTTGACCTGTTTTTCTTATGATATAAGAGAGACAATTGTTTTCAATAAATTGAAGAAAATTGTGAAAATAAATTGAATAAATTGTGGTGGGGCAAGGCCGTTGTGCCGTTGTTCAGTAATCCGTTTTGCCTACCCTGAACATTTGTTCACGACCCTGCCCTGTTATCTCCCCGGCCCTGTTGCCTCACACACCTTTGTTACAGTAAAAAGTACAATTTTATTTTAGAAAAAATGAACTTCTCACTTCTAGAAAGTATACCTACACAAAACATAAACGTTTTTAAGACCGTGTAGGAAGAGGAAAACCTCCAAAGAAAAGCGAGCTAAATGTACTAACATAAAATCAACATATACTATACCGTATTTTAACTATTAGCTCACAACCTCCTACGTGAAGGAGACCGTGGCTCGCGGCATCCCACATCTGACATTGCCATCCTGATGCGATGGCGTTCCCCATCAGAACAGAGAGTATAGTCAGTTTATCCGCAACACTGAAAGTCACGTGTTCTGTACGTGTACATCCTCAGAATTTTCAAAAACACGGATCGAAAATGCGTTCTCTATATTCTTTGCTTTAGATTTTTGCTACTGGCGCGGAGAGTACGCGGTGGACAGGACGACCAACTATGCGTGTGGGCGTTCACGGCCGAGTGGTAGTTTGCTTTACTCCTGCTGCTCGTCCAATGGTCCATGCAATATACTCTCTGGGTCCATGGCAGGGCCCGGCAACACTCCATCAAAATCGGGAACAAAGCTCGAGGTTGCTACTATAGGAAGCGCTAGTGTCGCTGGCTGCGGCTGTAGGTTAGGATCGCCAACTTTCCCACATAAAAATTGGCTAATTTGTGAGAAATACGAAAAGTGTCTTCTAAATGTACAATTATTCATTATATATACTTATAAGAAACCTCTGAAGAAAGCGCGAACGTAGACGTTATCTTTTGTAACATTATGGGCCTGCTTGCAACCCGCGAACTCACTCAACAGTCACGCACGTTTAAAGTATCGTTGGCAGCAGTTTCTGTTTTAGTTCCTGTAAAGAAGGTGATGCTGCAGAGCGCGCCACCGTAATGGTATCCACCAAGTTTTATGGGAGTTATAAGGCCCTGGTCCATGGCATACACTCGGGGAGGCAGAGAGCACAGAGGGAACCGAGAACTGGGTGCTCCTGGGCCTTGATTGCCAGTATTGACTTTGACAGCAGTTGGGTTATGTTTTGACATTGAAAGTATTTATTTGGGATAACATGGGTAGTAAGGTGCAGCATTATTGCCTAAAATGGAACAATTATCAGACTCACATTGCCGATATATGCTTCCAGTCTCTGGAAGCGGGATCTATGGTTGATGTTACTTTGTGTGCTGAGGGTCAATGTATCCACGCTCATCGTATTGTTTTGTCAGCTTGTAGTACATATTTTCAGGTATTGAATTTATTGCTGTTTTTTAAGCGCTGAAAAGCTGTTAAGCGGAAAGAGTGATAATATTGATATTCTTTTATAGAACATTCTGTCAAATTCAATGGAAGTTCATCCATACATCATACTCAGTGATATGAGTTACGAAGATATTAAATGCATCATAGAATTTGTTTATCGTGGTGAAATTAGTCTTACTGCAGATCGCTTCACCTCTGTGCTGAAGACAGCAGAAGATTTGCGTATAAGTGGATTAATGGAGGTTCAATTAAATTACTACTTTTTTATGATTTATTTTTGCATTTTTAAAGTTCTTCAATATCAATATTTATATTTTCCTTTAAAGGTTGGTAATTATTGGCCAGATGTAAGCAGTGAAGACAGCAAAGCAATGACATGGGAAGTCTGGGATGCAGTTGAAGAACCAATGGATACATGTACTGATTCTCCAAGTGTTAGTGTTTATGTTGACCAATCTGATGGTTCTCTCCAGGCTCCTCTTATTGATGCAGTAACTGTGCAAGTATGTTTATTTTACAAATTTTACCATTTAAAGGCTTCTGTGTGTGTAGAGGATGAAATATGTTATGTGATCTTTTTAAAATATAGTTTTAATAGATTTGTGCAACTGGAACATGTTGAAAGTGAAAATCCATTAAAAGTATAAAGTTAAATTGGTTACTTTGTATTTTCCTATGTAATATGCAATGTAACAATCCTCTGCATTTCGTTTAGCCAGTATATAAGTTCAAATTATGTAATTCAGAAGATATTTCTTTCTTTAATTTTGATTATGCAGATGGTATGATTTCATTTAGTGTAATATTAGAGTACATTGATTTACTTAGTGTTTCAATTTCTGTTTTATTTACATACTTAAAGCATTGTGAAGTAAAATATCACTCCCAAAAATGTTCCCAAATTTCAAAATAATACTTCAAAATACAAGGAATTCAGAGTTTTAGAAATTTTGTGTTTTCTTGTATTATATACTATTTGACATTTGAGACTTTTTACATATTTCGATTAATTTTCACACAGGATCCAGTTGAAGTGCTAGTCATTACTGAGAAAGATCCTGTTCCAGGTAAGCCAAGGAAACGAAAGAGAGATCCTTCAAAAAAAGATTACACGTGAGTATGAATGTAACTGTTGTAACATGTAATTCTCTCCAATTCTGACTTTTTTCACAACCATTGGGATTTATTCAAATCTCCATGTTCTGCATTATACTGAATAATGTAATGTTTCATAACTGTTATATTTGACTTTTGATTTCTTATGTAAATACATTTGTTGCTTCCATTCTGATACTCTTCAACTCCTTTTCCTGGTAGTTCTATTTGTTTCATTTGATTTTCTGAGCTCTGGTTCTCGATTGTATTATGACAGAAAAAAAAAATTTGTAAAAATGAATTGGAAATTTTTACAGAATCTTCTTCATTCTGCAATGCACTTAACTTATTTGTATAATTGGCACCATTGATATCATTTGAGAAATTTCAAACCATGCAAAAATAAGTTATCTTAAGGGTACAATTTAAAAAAAAAAAAAATTTAATGTACAGAAATAAACATCAAATTCCAATTTTATAAACCATAATTCTATTTTCTTTTGTGTCTTTTAAGTGGTCAGTGTCAAGTTAACAAATATTTGACAGATACTAAGGAAACTAGTGATTTTGAACTGATACTCAATAAGTGGTGGAAAAAACAGGAAATTACTATGAAGTCAATATTATCCTGCATTTGGATATATGTCAGAAGAATGTGAACAATGTAATCTAGTTTTGTTTATAGGTGGAGAGAGGAATTAACTTATGTTTGACTAATTGGTGGTTTTTGTAGATGCTCAGAAATTTCTTTAGGAGTGTGGAAGGATATAAATACAGCATTATTAAAAACAAATGGGGAAATTTAAGGGAATGGGAAGAAAACAAACATACTTGTTGCAAAAAATGGAGAGTAGTTCAATTATTGGAAATTGAATGATTTTGCATTTTAGTGGTTTGAGTGTGAAGATGCAAAAAGATACTTGTGATGTGTTGTTTAGTTGTAATTAAATGGGTATTATGAAGAGTTTACTGAACTTCATTACAACTTTAAAAATTAGCCCTGATTTTTTCTGCTTACATTGTCTCAACTTTCATTAAGTAGTCTCTTGTATGAATTGCTAATTTTCATCACAACCATTTCAACTATTTAAGACCGTTTCCATTGTACTTCAGAAGAGGTTTCAAATTTCAATTAGTAGCTAGGTTTGTTATTTTACCTGGGTTAAAAAGAAGGAATGTTCTTATAAAAATGTTATCTTGGTTATGTTATGTGTAGTTATGAATGAATTCAAGACAGATATCCCTTGATATGTATGTGTGTCTTCACTTGCTAATAATTCTTTAAGTACGTTTGCCTTGAATTTTTAATGTTATTGACACACTTTAATTGACTACTCTTCAGTGAAGAAACTTTGACAGCTGCTCTTCAAGATTTGAAATCTGGGAGGTCTTTATTAGAAACCTCAGCTGCTCATCACATACCTCGTTCAACTTTGTACGTACGAGCACGAAGTCAGAGCATTCCAATTGTACCATCCAGGCAGGATCACCCAAGGGAGAAGATTCAAGCAGCTGTGCAAGCTGTTTCTGGTATGAATGTTTCGCTACTTTTACTTGTTTTTAAGAATAAAATGAACAAAGAGGTTATGTGGTTAAGTATTCTAAAATTTAGAACTAGTGGTGTTGCAACAGAACATGCTTCCTCATGTGAGAATGAGAAATTTGATTTTATTACAAAATGTTTCTCATCGGTTTTAGTTGCATAATATTATAATATTGCAACTTCTAACATGCTGACACTTGCACTCTTACTTTAAACAGCTAGCCAAACGGAGTGCCAATATTAGCAAAAGTTCTTATCTTTATTTTTTGAAATTTCAATAGTTTGAATGAAAATGACTCTCTGCCATTGAATCCTATGTATTGTGCTCATTTCTTACAAAACATTTCAAGAAAAATCCAAAGAAAATTATTGAGGTTTGGATTTGAACCCCTATTCTTTGAGTAGAAATTAGGCGTTTCCTGTGAACGATGCAAGACACTGACTTACCATGTTTGTGATGTTAAAATGTGTTGATGATTCTGAACATTTCTCATGGATATTAGATCAAATTTAATAATGTTATTCATTAAGAGAATATGGAATGATATGGAGAGGTAATATGAGGAATACTTTGCAATATATTATATATATAGTCTTTGTATGCAATATTAAAGGTATAAACAAGTTTTTAAAAAAGTTAGTTGTCAAAATTTGTGAATGTGTAAATGGTCTATGCCATATTATTAAGCAAATAGTACCCTGATTGTATTGGTTGAAAATTTTCAAGAAAAACTGAACTGTTTTTAAAACCTTTTTTCAATGTTTTTACACTCGTATTATTTAAAAAAAGAAGAACGTGACATTAAATAAAAGTATATTCTTATAGGTATTTAATTAGGAAAAATCTTCAAACATAATTATGTAAAACTAGCANNNNGTTCGGGCGGGGGGGAGGGGGATTTTAAACTTTTGCGTTTTCAGAAAATTTAAGACATTTTATTGCAAATGGGACATACACTACTTTTTTATTAGTGTACTTTGAGATTTTTCAGAAAAATGGTGTTAGCAATTTTGTAAAACAAATCATAATTTCCAATGGACTTCATTTAAAGTCTCCCCAAAAATCAAAAGATATTTTTCTAATTCGAAGGGTTGCGATATCTTCGAGATTGGTCAGGCAATTTCAGTGAAAATCCTGGGTATGAGTTGCTAATGTTCACAGAGGCAAGCTGTGAGAAAAAGCACCTTTTCGGTGCCTGACACAGTGGATTTTGACTACGCTACATTACTTCTGAAGAAATATACTTCTTAAAAGGAGTAACAAAAGATCTACTTTTAGATGTCAGGCAGGATTTTAGATTTTTAGTTCTTGGCCCTCAGTGATCTGCTTAATGGTATCAAATATAGTTGTTTAATATGTCACAATTCTTCATATAATAAATGATTGCAAGAATAACCATTTCATATTTCAAATTATATCAAAATTGCTCAAAATGTTTTCTTAAAAACGTGTGTGCTCAAGCACAGAAAAGTATGCTTATAAAAATGGCTCTATCCAGGAATTTTACCAGCATCCTAGAGCAGTCCAAATCCACTTTGAGTTGTCCAGGCTGTGAAACGAACCCAGAGGAAACATTAGCATGTGAAATATGGTGCAAGTTAGATCTCCCACAGAGACTTAATTGTCGTCTCAAATGCTCTGATCCGTATGAAACAAAGCAAGATTAAAATGCAACTACTGGTATCAACAAACACTCACAGGCATCTCTCTGGAAAAGCGAACCTATGCCTAGATCTCGGACACGTGTCAAAGGATGGGGAAGGTATCGCAACCCAGGCGACCCTCTCTAGCAGCATGTAGGACGATTCTGCTGTGGACAAGCAGCCCAAAGCGAGTTCCTCCACATTTTTGCTAGCAAGAAAGAAGAAACCTGTCATCTAATCCCTCACCATGGCCCTCTCATGGAACCTAATCGATTTTCGCTCCCATTCAGAATTAACGCTGGGAATCTGTCGTCACGCCCCATTTCTTATATCTCTTGAAAACATTCCTGCATCATCCCATCGCGGCTCCCGCATATCATTTCGACGAAGATGACTAGCTGCGGGCTCGTGGTGGTGGTGGTGGTGTGATTTTTATATGCGATTCGCCGTTCTCCGACTAACACAACAATCGATCCGACCAACCTACCGTCTGTTTCGCTAACGGCGTGCAATATATTATTCCTGGACAAGCCGTGGCACAAGAACTCGCAAATAGTCCCCTAGCTGCTCCCAACTTGAGTTCCATGGATGAAGGAGATACGTCTACTCAAACACCCTTATTCAACCATCCTTCAACAAATTCAACCTTACAATTAGAAATCTTCGGAGTCAACAATGTCCAACTCCCACCATGGAGAGTGTCTATAGCGCGAATGCGCCCTCCGTGCGTGTCTGTGCTATGCCAGCACGGACCGTGGCCCCCCGGATTGAGCCTCCTGTAGAACGGGCGTCCTGCTCATTCATCTCCATGGAGTCTCTCTCGGCGGACTCTCTGACTGCGGACTGCCCTCTCTCCCAATGCTTCACAGCGCAGTTCCGTGTGGCCGCAGCAGTGCAATGCCGCCATGCTTCCCTGCTGTGTAGCCATCCCTATCCTTTCGGACATCTATGGCTGATCTGAAAATAGAAAAAAGAACATGGTCAGGAAAGACAATAGCCGTTCGGCGCGCTTTTGGCGTTGTTTATCGCAATTTTCATGCAAGTATTGGCGTCTCGCCTATTGTAGCATATCTCTCGGGCGCTTGTACGTGGCCGTGGGATCCGGCTCGTACAAAGATAAATTTATTATAATGTCAACTGCCCTCTGCAGCTAGCGGGTCCCTCTTTATACCAGGAGCCGCCGTCGGCCCTGACTCGCTCTCTGCCTGCGCGCCGGTAGAGCGTGTTCGGCTGGCGCTTCTGCCTGTTAAGTGCTCTACCCGTTTGAATTGGCGAGCTCTAAAGGGGGCTCCACACATGCGGCATACAGCAACGTTCATGCGGAACCCGCTCGCTGCTGAGCGAATGCCGAATGTGTGGAGCCGTCTTTAAGGCGCGCTGTCATGCCGAGTGCTCGCCAATTCAAACGAGCGCGCATAGACACTTCACAACTGTTCTGATAGTTGGGATCAACGTTCTAAATCCAACTGTGGTGTTATGATGTCCTGCTGGAAAGGTAGTATTCTTAAAAACATTATTGATCAACAATCTAATTCTTTTGAAATCTGAAATCTTGCCTTCGAACACACACTTCCATCGATCTGGCTTTCTGCAATCCGTCTGTATCTACCATCGTGAAGTGTCTGTTCTTGAAACCTTGCTTGCGAGTAACCATTTCCTTGTCCTCGTGTACTTCGATATTCCTGATTTGAATGTTCCCACTCACCTCGCCTGTGAGTCATTGAGCAGATATACATTCACATTCGGGGATATTCGGGATAGAAATACGAATATTGGACAAGTGTCCCAACCAGAGGCAGTATTTTGGATCTTTTATTGAGGGCCAAGGGTCCCCCCGCAGAAGATGGTAAAAAGTTCCCTTAAACATAATAACATATGAGTTACTATACACTAGTTTCACAATAATTTTCACGTGAACATGAAATTTTTGAAAGATTTCTTAGCCATCGTTCCACTACCCACACATCTCTTCAGCAGAAACGTGTTTTTTAATTTTTTTGACACTTTTATCTAATTAAAAAAATATAAAAAATAACAAAATAAATTTATTGTAGTAGACAAATCTTTTTTGATGTTTTTTCAGTGCCAAATTCAAATCCAAAGTTTGTTATTTTGGAAAAATTAACAAATAATTTTACTGCCTTAGAACCCTGGAATAGACTTAAAAGAAATCTGAAAGTTCTTCTTAATACACAAAATGTGAATTTTTAAGATTTTTTGATTTCTGAGCTGTTAAAAATATAAAACAGTTTTTACCATTTTAAATCATATATGCTTTGAAAATGGCTGCAACTGTTCTGTGCATTTATTTGAGAGTTTATTATACGTTTGTAATGAAAATTGATCTGCTGTCCAAAAAACAAACTTTTTGATAATTATACCGACATTATGATTAAGACATATTCGCTTGTATAATAACAGAAAAGTTAAATTACTCTAATAGCATTGAATATAATAAAAAATATTCTGTGTAGAAAACAGGTTTGCTTTTTTCCGGGTACACTTGACATTTAAACAAATATCACGTATTAGTTACAATATATCTTACATTATAATGGAAAACATGCTTACAAAATATAATATAGAGTTTTAGTCGTCATTCGCATATTTTCACTTTCTCACTTTTTCAAAAATTGTAAACGCGCATTTTTTGTTCTCTAACGCTGTACGTTCACGGATCACAGAAAAGTTAGTCACTCGGTGACTTTTTTGAATCTATACGTTTCGCAGTGTCGAAAAATGTATTCTTTTGAAGATCCGTTAAAGAAAATAGTTTTACATGTACAACGGCCTTAAGTTTTCTGTTTGCCGACTATGCTTCCATAGATTACAAGTAATGCTGGAAAACACATGATTTTATCGTATCGGGGACCCCGGAAACGCCCGGGGGGGGGCGTTGTGTGCTTTGCGCTTTCGGAGTAATCCTCCATTAACAGTGTCATATCCGACACGTCTCGCCGCTGTCAGTTGTCAAGAAGACCGCCAAGCTCCGCGTACGCGCCTCTGCGCCACTTCTCAGCGGCCAGAATTGGGAAGGAATTAGGATTGGGGTAGGGGTTAGGACTCTTCACAGAAGTTGGACTAGCCCCTGTGAATCATCCAAACTCGTTTTGTGGTAACAAATTTCACATGAGGTTCTACGGGAATCGAACCCGCAACCTTAGTGATACACTACACAATCTCAGTCTAATTTCTGTTAACTTTTACTTCTGCAATTGTTCTATTAATCCTTTTGTAGGTGATTATATATGAACAGTAAAATACGATTTTTGTGTATCTTTATGTGAATAAGGAGTTAAGTTTAATAAGAATAAGAGTTGTTAGTCACATACATTTGAACATCGGTGTGTGCACGCTTAAGAACGTAACTATGACAAGTCAAACGTAATAAGTAGGGGGCGGATTTTGATGACCTAATACATCACTAAAAATGATCAATAAAATGCTCTTCAAATATTTTTAAAATGCTCCAAAAGCGAAGAAAAATGATGTAAAAAATTTGATAAAAATCATTCCAGATCAACAACTCAAGCTGTTGGATGTTACTAATGTAATCGAGGCTTCTTTCTTTCGTTCAAGTGAACTCAGCTTCAAAGCGCTTGGTTTGGACTATTCTTTATAAAAAAATTCTGCCTTATCGTGAAATCGGCGAACTGACAATGGCGCCGGTAGGGGTCACAGGAACTTTAGGTTACATAGTACTCACAACCGCTGACATTACAATATATGAACAAAGAAATCGAATAGGCTATTCAGGAAATCTGTGGTGAACATTTATTGCATCTCTTAAATATTGTTTGAAGCAAGTACCATTAAAATTATATTATCGATAAAATCAGCGAAAATGCATTAAAAATGACGGAAAAGGGAAAAAAATTACTTACTAGTCGCGCACGACGAAAAATGCAAAGAAATTACACATGAAAATGGGCCATTTCTTTTTGACGTAATATAAAATTAATTTCTATACTAAATGGCATTGTTTTACAGTGAAAAATAAATGACATTTCGTTAAAATCCACCCCTTAGTAATAAGTGAAATGTGCTTTCATTTTATAACATTACACACTGATTTTCTCCGAAATTGCTTGAAGTTCTTCAATTTTAATAAGTTTGCCACAACAACCCACGTATTTGGATTTTTTTAAAAAATCTGGCTGGATCCGAAAAAATCTGTTTTTCACCAGGAGGCCGAGGCACGTCAAATGATACCTCATGTCTCGGTTGGTGCATGGGAAGTGGTCTAGCCGTGAGTATCGGATCCGCACACACGCATACTCGCCGTTACTAAAGAACTATGCAGGGACTGGTTGAATGTGGCGTCGCCGACGCTGAAAACCGTTTTAAAATTATTTTCATGTGTTGAAAATCTATTTCATCCAAATATTTGTTCACCACTCAATAAATTATATCCTCTAACGCGTTGTGTAGTCAGAATTCACGTTTTGTGAGTCCTGATATCGAAAAACTGACGGTAAACATATCAGTGGTCGACGCTAGCGTCAAAACCGTTCAGACAATTTTCTCCAAAATCGATATTCTGCGATCGATCTAAATGCTGTGAGTTTGAAACTGATATTTGGACTCTGATGGGGTACTTTAAATTAATCCCGAAACCCATTTTCAAAATTTCCTCAAAAATATATCCAATTTTTTAATTGAACTTCTTCCTCTTTTAGTGTAAAGCAGTTTTAAAAAATGGCTGTTACATTTTCGCGAAAATCTCTGAATTTTCGAAAATGGCGAAGGTCAATATTTTTCTGCTTATTTTAACAACTACAATGTTGAAGATTGAATTTTTATTTAATGAAATTTATTCTTAAAGACAAAACTTCAGATACGTTCGTAGACATTTCAAAACATGAGTATATCGCGTAATTTTGCCTGAAATATAGGCAATTTTTGAAGAATTGTTTTCTCAAAAATTGCCCCAAACATTCTTCTTGAAATTTTTTCATCGTACGTCGCAAAGGACTCTAAAAAACTGGGGCTTGTCTCATTTTCGGCGAACTCTGTTGTCGAAAAATGCAAAAATTAAGTTTGCAAAAGTCCAAAATTTATAGATTTTTCTTAAATAAAATCAGTTTAAAACATTAGTACTTTAAATAAGCTAATGTACGGTTTTTATAAATTACAGATGTCCCATTTTCAGCTTTTTTTTCAAAAATAATTGGAAACAATTAAATTAATAGCTATTATACCGATGGTAAAGAATTCTTTTTTTATTGAAATCTGTTCTTTGAAACCAAATCATGGAATAAACGGTGGTATGAGTCAAAGAGTAATCAATTACGCTTTGCTCCGAGTTACGAAGATCCTTCTCAATTTCGTATGAATAAAGTGGGTGAGCAATTGCTCAGTCTCTGAGCACTTGCTCCGTCTCTGAGCGTACTTTTAACTGGCGAGCTAATGCTCAGAATTCGTATGAATAAAGTTAAGCGTTTACTCTATAGATTGTGCACTTCAAAATTTCGGAGGGACCTTAATAGCAGACTTACGTTTGAAAAATAAGGTTAAATTGGCAGATTTTTTACCGTGTGCTGACATGCAGATGCAGCGGACTAAAACAATTTACAATATAAAGTGAGATTCTCGTGATATATACTATAAGAATCCTTACCGATTCGAAAAGGACAATGTTTATATGACTTTTATCGGCGTTTGCTTTCAGACGTGTTCTTCTCGGAATTTTTCGGGGTTCTGTTTTTTCAAACTTTGTAATGCTTCGTTTCGGCCACAGCGTACCTCCGGAAGCTGTCTCTTTTCAAAAACAATTTTATATTCGCTTAGCATTTCAGCAAAAACTAGCTGGGCCTTTGGCGCCTGTTCTTCGTCACCGCTACTCATATTCGAATTTAAAGAACGAGACAACAAAACATTGCTCTTTGCTCCGCACTAATGTGCGCGACGCGCGTAGTATGTTACCTCTTTGTTACTCGGGAAACCAATTTCTAAAACTCAGACTGCACTATCACTTGTTCACAACGAGCAAATTCTTCGGAGACGTACGAAGTTTTTATTCATACGAAATGGAGCTTTTGCTCATTATCATGGAGTAGACTCACTTTGCTCCGGAGCAAACGCTTCGAAGCAAGTGCTCATTTTTAATCATTTGACCCATTGTAAATCCAAAACTCTACATTATTACTCATATTTGACTTTTTATGCATTGAGAATGTTGGTAAAGATTAGTGTCTGGTGGTGTAGGAGTAATATAACTTTTTTTGGTTTTTATACACTAATGTAATTTTTTAAAATATGTCTCATACCGTTAATATGCACATTTCGAGGAATTTGTAATACTGTTGTATTCGTGATTTGAAGTGCTTCAAATGACTTTCAAACAAGTTTTTCGAAACTCAAAAATTTTCTGTGTAAAAGAGCTTGAAATTTCGCATTTATAGTAGGGCTTAAAAACAATTTTCTTAAAAACTACTCGAAATTTTTTAATGACAATTGCCATTTAGGATGAGGTTTTACTCTTCTTTAATATCATTAAAGTAATATTTCAGTTCCACTGTTAGTAAACCGAAAAATTGAGAAGTTTTCAAAAAAATGTATTTAGGCGGCGATAGATGGCAGCTGGCAGAAGTATGTGGCAAGACAGAAAAGCTATGCCAGACCGAAGAAATTAGGGAACCAACTAGAATAGAAAGTCTGTGCCATTTTGTAGCACTAGTTTTATCATATTTTCGTGCATATTTTCATTATTGTTAGTGGATATAAATTCACAACCCAATAATCACTTTAAAATATTGTGAATTTGATATTGTCAGTAATATAAGAATTGTTTAAAAAATATTGCATAAAAATGCCAATTATTTGCATTGTTTGTGAAGAAGTAAAGAAAAACATTGCACAATTTATGTAGTTGAACTTGAAACTTTTAATTTTATTTATTTATTTATTTTACTTTCTTTTCAGAAGGCGCCAGTTTACAGCAGGCATCAAAATTGTTCAAAATACCAAAGACTGTTTTATGGCGACGGGTTCAAAAAGAAGTGGGGAATTATTCTGGGAATAAACGTGGCAAACCTCGAGAGTCATACGGTTTTGAAAAAAAGAGGGCAGCTATAATGGCTTTGGAGAGGGGAGAGAAGTTATCAAAAGTATCTTCTCAGTACCAGGTAATGTAATGAATTAATTCTGCTACTATCAAGAATATACTTATTTAATTTTCTATCATAATTTTATATTATCAGATTCCTAGAGCTACCCTGTCAAGGGAAAAAACTCGACTTGTTGAGTCAGGCAGGTTACCCTGGACAAGTCGGAAGAAACGCCAGTCTGAACCAAATGACTATAAAGAACTACGCCTCAATGAAGCAGTCGCTGCATGTAGAGAAGGAAAAATGTCACAAGCATGTGCTTCTCAAAGGTTTCAGGTAATGTGATGTATTTTTCAAATGACCATATGTATATATGTAGCTATGTATGTAGCTTTATGACCATATGTATATATATATAGCTTTCTGTCCACTTTTTCATTACCAGGGCCATGTAATAAAATATTTTTGCCCCAAATTCGCCGTGTTTTTGTGCAGTATTACATAAATTTCTGTCTATCGCAGTAGAGGTAGCGCGGAAGTAAAAAAGATTAATACTGAACTGAGGAATATAATATATTCTTAAATATAAAACAACTTGTGCAAATTGAAAATCATTGGTACACCAAATCCAGTACAAAAATAAAAGTGCTTAGGGCATTCAAGAATGATTGGAACAACAATTATTTTGTGTTCACAGTAACCAGTCACTGAACGGACTTACACTGATTATATTGTAGGTATTCCCCATCAGTGTCTTTGCATTTTGTCGTCATTCTGGCAGCTTCTGTATTTGCATAGCAAGCCATTCTTTGGGTATATTTGTTGTGTGCCACTGTTGGACAACTACATAAAGTTCATCATTGGTGATGAACTCCTTACATCACATTACCTCTTCCATTACATAGGACCAATAATCACTAGAAGCCAGATCTGGTGAATATGGAGATGACCAGATGCTGAAAGAACTCTGTTGGATCTGTACTGTACCTTTTATCCAACTGTTAGCCCCTCCACACCCTTCTACTTCTATGCAGTGGTGAGGGTATGGAGCACCCATTGTGCACACATCTTCATTTCAAATACTCGTGGATGTGGAAGGTCCCTGTGATAGACCTGTTGCCTTCTGAAATTTATCAATCGTGATTCTCCTGTTCATCATTATCAAGCCATTGACACGCTGGGCATTGTTTCGTTCGAATGCAATTGTCAGACATCCGTTGCTTTTTTCAGCACAGTCTCTGCCGTCTTCGAACTACAATACCCAACGAAACACTGGTCTGCAACATGCTGATAGCTATCTACATATGGCTGGCTCTTGTGGATATCTGAAGCAGTCACTCCTTCCCTCCAGAGAAACCACACTGTTCCCCGATTGTCTGCTTCCGTATTGTCTAATATGCTTTATTATAAATGACTTTCAGAAACCATGATATAATATGGCATTTTAAATAAATAATCAGTATATGATAATTGTATAATATGACCATATGCTTTCCAAAATTATACAGTTCACTGATAATTCAGATAAAAGGAATTATATTTTTTGTTTAAATTATTTGCAGACTGCATAGACTTTCAAAGTTTGTTTTGTTCATCTTCAATGGTTTATAGAAAATATAGAATTTCAGGATCTCTTTCATTCAATCTGAGCTAATAAATGCTCTCATGCAAATTGCACGGCAGAAAAACTCGAAATATTGGCAGAAATAGTACCAACACTGTAACGATAGAACATATACAACTTTGTAACACAAGTTTTGCCAACAACTGTGATTGCGAGTGTCGGGGAAGATAGGTACGCTTTGCCGTATCCATAGAGTATGTATGTGAGCCATCTACATCATTGGTCAGGCATTGTTCTCTCTGCAATGATTGTTCGGCTCTTGGGATGCCCTCTGTGCGTCCACCGACATTTCTGAGAATATGAGTGACATTTATTTATTTTAGTTATGTATTTATTTACATCAAAAACAGTCTAAAATTGTGTGTGACTTGGTATGGGGAGAACTTCATTTGAAGTTACTTTGATGTCCTGAAGCAAAACGAGGGGGCATCTCAGCATTTGCTCAAGGATCAGGGAAACTGGACAAAAACCTGAATGAGATGGGGGTCATTGATCCAGAAGCTGAAGTTCAATACTTGTTACAGGTTCTTTAGTACAATCCAAATGATAAATAATACATTAAATTTCATTGTTAAACTTGATATTACTCTCCTTTTGGATGCTCGATATAGTCTCTAATAGTATAGAAACAGTTGTGCAGCAGAAAAGATTTTACTTGGGACTTAAACTTTTGCATAGAATTTTATTGTTTAATATCACCTGGCATGGTGTTGTAAAATAATGTACATGTATTATATGTGAATTTTTTGTAGTGAGCTGTTGATACTGTCACCTGAAGGATATGATTACTATATCGAGTGTTGTAGTTATAAACAATGGCGTTTCCTGAAAATATATTCCCACCCTTAAGTAAGTCATTTTTGACAAAAACCATTGATTCATATATAAAAAAACACCTAAATTAATAAAGAGAGGTTTACAAGAATCACGCTGGTGGAATTTGCGTATTATTTGTACAATTCTTTTGTGTAATCTAAAAGACTGGGAGCTATAAGATGTATTTGTCCAGAATATTATACCATATCTCAAGCGGGAATGAACATTTGCGAAATATACACAATGAACAGTATGGCATAAAGCAATGACATAAAATTGATTCAGGATGAATCGCATACTGTTACATTGTAAATAAATATTAATTTTTGTAAATATTTTCTAATTTGCAGTGCAATATTTTTATTTACATTGTAATACAACACTTCGCGGTACATCATGTGTGTTAGGAGTCTTGTTCCGCAGGTTTTACAGTGCTATTACATGAATGATTGCATTTCTACGCTTTTCTGCGACACATCACAAGATTTAAAATCGCGAAGAAAAACAGTGCATTCAATAAATTTTGTAGATATTTCCTGTAACTTTAATAAGTTAATATGTTGATAGTGGCGTATCCTGAGTTTTATTCATTGAAATAATTTTCATTAAACCTCTGAATTTTTGAAAATTGCAAAAGTTTATAATTTTTTACCCCCTTCACCAGTTATATTATTGAAGATGATAAGGTACATATTCTTTCTTAATGAAGTCGTTCTGGAACTTGAAAAACACTCCTTGTACAATTTTTTAAAATGGTGCTTTCATGTAATTTTGGGTTAAATGCAAGTTTTAAAAATGCCTAAATATATTCTCGAAAATGTTTCCCCTTTTTTCATTTAATTTTTTGCTCCAATAGAATCATGTTCCCTAAATAATATGATATAGATTCTATAAAACCAATGAAATTCTGAAAATTCAACTTTTTGTAACAATTGACCCTGATATACTTAAGTGAAAGAAGCCCATTTTCATTTAAACATTTGTAATTTTTAAAAAAAGTATTTTTTTAACTCTTGATTTTCCATTTTTATACCAGTTTTATAAGTAATGGCTGAAGTGTTACTGAGTTAGAAGTTGCAGGATTATATTTCATTGCTAATAGTACGAGAACGCATGCACGTGTGTTTGTTCACAGCAATTTTATGGGGATGGAAATACTCAAATCAAGATGTGCTTACATTGCATTCAAGATGGAAATGATTTGTTAATGCTATTCTAGGTTCCAAAAACAACAATTTGGAGAAGATTAAAAGATGTTCGAACTGCAGAAAACACCCCTTCTATTGTTCGGGAGAAAACTGATGGAAATGTTCAAGCTCGTGCATCCCATGAAAATGTTTGTCCTGTATCTCAACTTCAAGAGCAGCAAGTGTTCTCATTTTCTGAAGTAAATACATTTCTTTTAAATGTAATTATTTTCAAATAATAAAGATGTTGTATTTAATAAAATTCCATCTTATAGGTGTCATCTCATATTCCTGTTACATACATGGATGAATCAAATTTTACAGACTCCTCTTTGATTATTCTCACATCAAATCCAGAAAGCGAAATTGCCTTGCAAGAGAACAGTCAGCTTATAATAGGATCGGTAAGCAACTTTATAAAATTTATGAAGTTCATCATAAATTCTCAATGATACATGTGAACATGAAACATTTATTGTTTTTGTCTTATAATAATATTCTGTTTTCTTTTTATAACTGCTAGGATGTTCCTTCTAATTGTACTGAAGCAAGAGACTGTCAAGGAGTTGCTCGTTGCCAAATGTCAGAAAATTCAGAGTATGCAGCAAAGTGTCCATAAAACATACTTTAAATCCTACATACTTGTTCATAAAAATACCATATATTCCTAAAATTAATGAGATAAAGTTAAAAGGAAAGCATGAAGTTCATCTTAAAATAGACGAATCTTGAGAACAGGAAGAAGTAAATATGAAGAAATATTTTCGATTAATTCTGTGTCTCAATGTTTCCATTTCTCTATAAATCCTTGTAGATTTTGTATCATAGTATTTGTATTTAATTGTATGTTATTGCTGGTCATGTTTTTGCAGATGTGAAATAATATATCTTATTGATTGGTTTTGATTGAGGACTAGGTCTTCCATCCAATTTTGTAGAGAATTGGTTTCACTTCGTTAATGTGCATCATTAAGTATTTACATGTCACACACCCACTCACTCACTCTTTCTGTCATATATATATGTACCTAATTTACACAATTCAATTGCTTTTTTATTTCAGGAATATTTTTTCTTTGTAAACAAATATATTTATTTCTTTTGTAAATAATAAACAATTTACATGTTTCTGAAGTATTTATGTGTAAATACTCTGAAATGCAAATTTGAAATAGAAAGTGTTTTTTCAAACCAACTTTAGGAGTGCTTATTGCAGCTCAACCATTCAAAATATCGAAAGAGTATAGACAAAATACGCTTAAAATTGATTTAATAGCTAATTTTTAGTTTTGTTCTTTCCTCCCTAGACACCTGTATGTATGTATGTGTGTGTGTATTTATATATATATACATACATACATATACATTTATATTGCAACAGAATACGCTGTCAACTGCAACATGGGTGTCACCAAACCACTCTTGTAGCGATTGGGCTTCCTCAACCCTATGCAGCCCTGCAGCGTGTCACCTAAGACACTGGGCGACTTCAACACCAATCCACCTTCAGGCCTGTCAAGTTCATTTACTATTATTTCCTCCCACAGAATGCCCTGTCTAGGAAAATTATTCTTGAAAAACGTACACAAATGTAAGACAATTGTATCAAAATTGTATCAAAATGTAAATGTAAATGTAATTGTATCAAAATTACAATTCTATTTTTGGCTAAAAAATGTCACCAAAAATGAAAGCTGGTATGATTTCAATCATTATTTAAATCAAATGATAATTTTTAAAATATCAATGTTTTAAGTTTATATTTATTATTTGTAATATTTGAAAAAAGAAGTTATACAGACAAATACTTAAATCAATTATGATTTATACAAAGAATATCATATTTCTTATAAACTTTTTCACATAATTGAACAATTTCGAGAAAAAAAATACGATGTAATATACATTAAAAATGAGCATGTGTATGAAATGAATTGAACTATTTGTAATAGTTATTTACTAATGGACTTGGATGATATAATAGTTTTTATCCGGCATTCCATTGTCCGTAGATAAAAGCAAATTTAGGAACAATACACACACCGAGCTAGGTTCAAGAAAAACACGTTAAATCTTCAAGCGTATTTGTAATTCTAGATTTGAAGTAAAATGTTTGCTAATGCCACATAAAGTATAACATCTTAAAGATGAGCATTAATAAAAAAGGAATTCTATTAATACTCACTGAAACAATAAAATTAATGTTGTTAAAACTAATAAAAATCTTACTAATTTTAATAATATTAACCATTTTCCTTGTGTATATTGATAAAATACCATTTAAGTGGGAAGGAACAGGACAACTATTAAATAGAATTTAATATTTCAAAAACTGTCTAATATTATTGAAAGTTTTTTGATGAAATCAGTTGTTTTCAACAGGTTTTTTGATTCAGGTATAACAAAAAAGAAAGGTAAAATTTTTTGGAAAAAGAATGCCTTTTTTCTGAACCATGCTAATAGGTGGTGCCACAAGCTTATTCGATAATGTGAACACATGAGAAGTGTTTTAAGAGCATGAAACTATAAGTACTCAAATTTAAAGATTTTGTGGGTTAGGGCGGTACTACACCAGACCCCTCAAATGTATAGTATCTATTTGAAGAAAAAACCAACTAAAACAAACAATGAGGTGATGATCAATTTAAAACTTCATGTTTTCACTTTTTTCATCTTTTAAAGTAATTAAGTAATCCCTTTACAATTTTGGTTTTAAGTAAAAAAATCTAATACAATATTTAAAAATATTATTTAAATCAAGTTAATCTGAATCATAAGAAATGCTGATAATACACTTGGATATTCCCTACATGCACAACAACGAATTCGCACAACCTTACTTTGAAAATGCGCGCCAAAATGCGACAGCTGCGCTATCTGCACCAGGCCCGTGACTGAGGAAACAAACAGTCCCCCGCCTTTTAACATTGAGTGAACGGAGTGAACCGCGGTGAACCGGCCCTGATAGAGCAACAGAAATGAACAGAAACACGTTGCTGAAGAGTGTGTGTAAATAGTGATAAATAGTTACTAGCTGGTTACTAGTGAAATGTTTGTATTGTCAATAGTAGGTTAAGCTCAAGTATCTAACTTTATTACTAAAGGTAAGTTTCTGTCAACTTGTTTATAATAATATGTAAACATTGTATTAAAACTGTGACTCGTTGCTAAACAGATGTCTCAATGACGGCTAGCAGACATAACTGAAATGTCACGTCACCAATGTAATCTTAACAACTACAAATACAGAAGAAAGAAAAGTGAATGTCTATAATATAAGGGAACTCTTTTTATTGAAATAATAAAGGAACATTCAGAAGGAAGAAGAGGTTTAATAGTATTTTTTAAGGTGAATATCAATGTTCAATACATTTATTTAGCTATAAAGTTGAAACTAGTAAAAATGAACATATTATTTCCGTTTCTAGTGTGGTGTGTTGCAGTGACAGAAGAATATTTAGTTCTCCCTAATTTTAATTTTATTTTTACTGTAATGCCAGTGTTCAAATTTTATTTTGTTATACAGCTGAAACATTTTAATGCAATAGTTTTCGTATTTTCAGAATGTCTTTTGAAAACAAGGAAGTCACACTTAAGTTCATTGAAGATTATTGGGAGAAGGAAGCTTTATGTGATTCTTCTAAAAAAGATTGTAATAAGCAATTGAGGGAAGGTAAGATTGTAAAATAAACTGAAAATTATCAAATTAATGACTTATTCATAAATTATTAATTATCATATTATTGCAGATGTATTGAGCCAGTTTGTATCAAAACACAATTGCGAAATTGTAACCATAAAAAATAAGATTAAAACCCTCCTTTGGCACAGAATTTGATAGTGCTTAAAAGGAGAAGTGGGAGTGGAGGAAATGACAACTATGTCTCTAAGTGGTTTGCTTTGGAACCATTAATGTTTTCAATAGATGTTTCTTGTCCTGAAGAGACATGGGATTCATTGGGAGTAATATATCCAACAACTTCTCTGGAAGTGAGTATCAGTTTATTGACTACTGTGTGATCTGTAAAGATTAAATAAAACAATTTACACAAACTTGGTTCAGATATTTATGTTGCCAGGGCACTGATCCTATATCTGACATGAAATACTCCAAATTCATCTCTAACATTGGTTGCATGGAGTGATGATCTTGCTATATTTACTAGAGATCTCAGACCTGTAGCATTTGCTGTAACCTCCATGACCCGAACATAACTTCTCGACTATTGATGTTTTCAGAGTCGAGACAACCAAAAGGAGCACTTCTGCTTCTTGATGACACACTCTTTCTTAAAAAATTGTGTAGATTTCATTGGCTTTCTAAAAACTGATGCCATTGAACCAAAATAATTTTCAACGATACGTCGAGCTTGGCCAAGCCTGTAATAAAACACTCTATTGGGAGACCCCTGGTTCAAATCTGCTTTAAAGGGCTTCATGATATTTAGGGATAGGGAGAAAGCATCTGCTACCAAATGTGATATTGGGGCAACTCGTAATGGAAGAGGTTGTGGTTTTAATTCATTATTGGAGAGTTTCCTATTGAACTCTGTATTTTTAAAAACTCCACCATCTGAAATTCTGCCTAGCAGCCGATGTAACAATAAATAAAACAATAGTAACGTTTTTCATCTATAGTGCCAATACAGTTAGGATAATTTCATTTCCTGTTAAAATCTTCAGAAATTTTTTTTCATTCTTCATTAGCTGGCATCTGAAGAATAAAATTTTCTTAATTTTTGCAGGTTGTTTTAGAAAGTGAAGACAAGGGTGATAGGACAGAAGATATTCTTAAGTCTTCACAACTGAGCCCCATTAGTTATCCACCCCCCACCCCCATCGTAGGTTCCAGAAGTGGAAGTGGGATGAAGAGGAAGAAAAGGCCTACAAAAAATGAACCAGGCCCATTCAATGACGTGACTCACAATAGAACACTGAAGTTTCGGGGAAATGATAGCCCAAAAAATACAGAATTTAAATACTGAAAAATTTAAATTAGAGCTATTAAAAATAATCAGTACTATTGAATTAAGTGATGAAAATTTAAATGCAGCAATCATGGTTGGTGTGCCCCAGTCCTCCTGCCTGCATCCTACAGTTCCAATCGTTTCTGTGCTCCTGTCCTCCTCCACCACTATGACTATTTTTTTCACATGTAAAATTCATAGAAAATAAAGAAAAGTTTCAGAGAAAACGGCCTGCCTTCATGTAGTGAAGAACTTCTTGATGCACCTAGCAGTTACAAGAATTATTTCCGCTATGCTTTTCTTTGATATATGAAATGCAAGGCTTAGTCTGGAGCAAATCACCAGTAGCTAGGTAACGCAGAGTAATTGCAAGCCTTATTTCGGTTGGAATTGCACTAATCACCGTATTTTGTCTCGAAATACGTCCTCTCTCTCTCTTTTTTTTTTTTCCTTCAGTAAAACCGAGAATGTCAGGAGACAGTGTAAAATTTGTAAACAAATTACAAATAATGGTTTTCTTTCCTTGTTTAAAATATTGTCTCATCCACATGCGCCTCTCTCTTTCTCTTCGACTAATTATAAAAGAAGTTGCTGAAATTGCCGCGCAAACAGCTGGATCCATTGAACAGAACTGAAACAGTGTTGCACCGTGTGGAGAGGGTAGCGCATGCGCACTGAATTGAACTTTCGCCTTTCAACTTTGTGCATGCAATTTTGTTCCCGCAACACACCAGAAAAGTCGCATTGAGTGGACGCGCCATGGCTGGCACAAACTCCGTAAACGAATTGCATTATGGGAACGCCCTTGAACCATTGGTAACTTACCGTGGCGGCACCATGTGTTGACCTTGTTGTGCAGAGTACCTTCGTGCAACTGTGTGTGTGTGTTTGTTGAAGAATGGTAATGACGTGTGGTAATGTTAGTGTCTGATATTGTGTGATAACGTGGAAAGCGTGATAACTGTTATGTTTCATTAATTAGTAAGGTTTCTCTTTGATGAAGTCTGATTACTGATATTCTGGGAAGTGTTTGCCTTTTTTTGACTGTGTGCTTATCAAGTGATAATGTCAACTGTGAAAACGGATTCCCACGTGAGTAGTAAATACGAAGCATCACTAGTGAAATGTTATGATCCAGGATGTATCATTTTGGACATACACTACAAGGATAGGAATATGGTTGCAGAAACAGAACAAATTAAACTCTTTAATCAAGACATCACAAAGTATTGGAATACTCACAAAGATGACCCAGTTGAAGGCAGAAGATATCATCTAGGAGAGGTTAGTAATATTGCAAAACAAGTTGACAGGTTTTTTTTCTCCAGAAGAAAAATGTTTTATTCACAATGCATGCTCCTAGTTTTCTTAATGAAAGTATTTTCAGATGCAATATTCTCTTCCATGAAATTCATTGCTAGCAATGACATTTCCTGTACATTTTCTTTTCGTTCAAGATTTCCTGTAGGCATCAAAGGAATTTAGCTGACCCATAGTTGCATTTTAGAGAATTAGAGGATTCATTTAATAATATTTGGAAGTGAAATTGGTGCTATGGATTGCTAGGAATCTAATTGCTAATTCTTAGGTTGAGCACTTGAATTTACGAGTAAAATAAATGGTATTTTTCCAAGAATCTGTTGCAAACTGTTGTAAATGTTTGTATAGTTTCAAATGATTGTAATGTAGAAGAAAGATAATAAGAGTTCAAATTCTTTGAAATCAGAAGTACTGTATAGGTATGCAGACAAACTTGAATGCATGTTGTTTGGACTAAGTACTTACAATGTAATGCGATTCATTATATTCAATACTTTATATAATTACAGTTATTAACACCAAATGCAATTCTGTTGTTTGGAAGTTGAACCTTATTTTCATCCTTATCCTTATCACTGAACTATTGATTCAGTATTTCAAAAATGAAATTTGATTGGTGGGATGGGTGAGGAAGAAATTGCCTAGAGTTTCTTATTAAAAAAAATATCTCTGATGTGATAACAACAATTTGTAAATTAAAAACTTATTATAACACTACACCAATTTTTTTTATCTTGTCATACTCTGAAACATGGCCTGTAATCTTTTATTCATTTATTTATGTCAAAAACAGCAATCATTGGAGGAGATGATTAAGGGAGGAAAAAGTTTGTTTACTAAAAAGAAGCAAAACAAGAAATTGGATTTGCAAGGGTATTTAGAGAAACTGGTTGACAAATTTAATCAAAACGTGGTATTATTACTATTGAAAAAAGTATTTTATAATTTTTATTATTCCGTCATTTGAACAAATACTTAATAATTATTATTATTATGGAATTAATATTCCATGATCGTTCTGAATGAACTCAAGACTGAGAGTTTGCAATTAACATTTTGGATTTTCGGAGATACTTTAATGAAGCCTCAACATTTTCTCAAAAATGGGCGTAAAGGTTTTAATTGAATTTTCTTTTTGGATAGTGTAAAGAACAAAAAAACAATATAGTATAAAACTCGAACGTTCAAACTTTTTTCAGCATCTTCCTTTTACAATATTGAAGTTATAGTACAAATTACAATACAATATTGAAGATAGAGAAATTAATTATGAAATCATAATCTTCATAATGAAATCTGTTGTCCAAAGACAGATCATCAAATAAGATTGTGTACATTTTTTTGAAAATATTAGTATTTTTTGCATAAATTGACATGATGAAATACAGGCAATTTTAAACAATTATTTTCTTAACTTTTCTCCTTGTGTATATTAAAATACGGTATAAAAAGTGGTGCTAGTCCTATCAAGCAGATTTTGGTAACAGAAAACGTCGTTAAAAATGATAAATAAAATGCTCTTAAATTGTTTTAAAAGTGCCCTAAAAGAAAAAAAAATGATCAAAACCAGTTCAGATGAACAACTCAATATTGGATTTGTTACTGATGTATTCAAATCTTCCTTTCGTTCAAGTGAACTCGGCTAGCGAACGTTTGGTTTGGACTGTTCTTTACTTGGAAATCTAGTTTTGTTATCGCGAAATCGGCCGAACCGACAATGGGTTCACAAGAACCGTAGATTACATATTCACGTCGGACGTAACACTTTCTTAGCGAAAAAAATCGAATAAGCTATTCAGGAAATCGGTGGAGAACATTATTTGTTGCATTCCGTAATTTTGATATGGAGTAAGTTCAATTAAAATTATATTAAAATTGATGAAATCGGCGAAAATGCTTTAAAAATGACGGGAAACGATAAAATAATGACTTATCGTTTGGAAGAAGAATTAAAAAATGTGTCATTCCTTCTCATTACATGAAATGAATGTATATGTTTAAGTATGTTTTCAGTTTTCGAAGGGAACTGAAGCTCCATTCAGCTTGGCATGAAGGAGCAACTAACACTATCAACTAGTGCTACAGAATGACACAGACTTTCCCGTATTAATTTTCTATGTCTTTTTTTTGTTTTGGTTAGCTATTAGAACTTGCCACATATTCTTGCCTGTCTGTGAAAGCACGGGCATGGGCTAGGCAACTGACGCGTCTCTACGAAAACGTGACTGAGTTGATGTCACAACAATCCAGAAATAATACCATGACCGAAATAAGTCGTATTGTAGGAGTTAGTGTAACGTAAGTCAATAGATTTGCGAAAAAGTTAAAAGGCCGCAAGGGTGTGTGTTATCAGTAGGGAAAAGATTTTAAGGTACTTTTCAAAACTATAGCTGTTTTTATATAGACAGTTTAATATGTTTTGGAGGGTTGAAATGAAGTGAAATAAACAATTTGCTGCACCTTTTTTGAGATTACTACATTTTGCCGTCTTCTCCCTTTTCTTATGCTTCAGTACTATTTTCTCCACGCTTTCTGCGTTTTAAACGGGACAGAAAAATGTATTTTTTTCTCTTCTTGAACAGCTTTTCAAATTTCATTTTATCAGAAGTCAACAGTTTTATTACATATTTTACGTAAACCACCGGTAATTTATATCCAGCAACAATGGTCAATCTGAAGCCGTAAAGTCAAAATGTAAATTTTAAGTGTTGCTGCAACAGTTTAATCTTTCCCGCTGGATTTAAAGTGCTGCCCAGTCAGCAAATCAAGGCATTTAAATGAATGTGCAGAAATTCTCGTCGGTGACACGAGGCCAATGTTTACCCTCGCGCTCGTGCGGGCGCAGTTTGACGCGCCTGCGGAGGGCGTTCTACTACGTAATCCGCAGGAAATATAAGTCCCGTAAAACTGTTTTCTACCTACTGCAGTGTTGAATAAAGTTCATCTCTTTCGGACTTTATAAAGAAGGCAAATGTGGTTCAAAATAATACGTATATTCTAGAAACTTGAGTTCTTGTAACTGGTTTAAACTTTAATACAATTGTTTCAGCAGCACCTTTTTTTGCACCTATTTGTATGTATTTTCAGCACCCTTTTTCCCCCCTTTTACGACCATATTTTGGACCTCAAAATCCCTTGCCAAGTTATCAGTTATAATTTTTCTCATATTCATTAACGACCTCTTTAAAATTTAATTCCCAGGAAAAATAACAGCTTTCGCTGACGACATAGCTTTTACCTTTTCTCGTAATGACAAACAACTACTTTGGAATGATATTGAAGTCAGTCTTATGATTCTTAAAAATTAGTGCAGCAATAACAAATGAATATAAGAAAAACAAAATATATGCATATGGGATTGACTGATTTTAATTTTAAATAAAGTATTAACTTCCACAACCTTAATTGTATTCAAAAGCTGACATGCAAATGTGAAACAATTGAGAAAGTTCTGACAATTGAGACAAACACAAATCATTCTGTGAAATCAATTGTGAAAGTTCTGACAAATACATTTTTCTGTCCCGTTTAAAACAATTGAGAAAAACTGATAATAAAATTACTTGGAAACATATGATGAGTATACAGAAATATTTAAGGGATAATCTAAGAAAATTGTATTATGTACGAAAATTTTGCAATATTCACACAAATAAAATTCTATATTATGCACTAATAAATTTTAAACTCCAATATAGAATCTAAATATGGGGAAGCACATTCAAGACATGTATTAAGAATCTAAGAATAACTCACAACAAATTTATCCAAATTATCTATAAAAAAAAAGACTGATTCTGCACTTCCTCTTTATAAACAATTAAAAATTTACTATTACATCTTTTTATATAAAGAACTTAAAATAACAGAAATATAAATAAAATATAGAAATAATTTAACTGATACAATATTTCATAATTATAGTACATGAAGCAAAGCCACAAACCAAAAACAAACAAATTCACAAATCACTAATTTCAAGAACCTCGGTCTTTATTGGACCCCATAATCAATTAACGATAGCATTAAAAAATAGTAAGGCCTTGAATATTTTCAAACACAGGATAAAGATTTGGATTTTAAAACATGATTCTACTGAACAAGTTAACTGAAATATTGCTTTAAAACTGCTTGCTGTGTAATTTAAGAATTAATTTATTTATGAAGTTATATATTTGTCTATGAAAATATACCTATTGCATCTCTAAATTTCCACTGTTTTAATGCCAGGTTTTGTATATTCACAAATACTTGGATTGTAAATTTAAAAAAGAATATTGTTAAACAATAATGCCATACAAAAAATACTACGTAGAAGTGGACATAATAAATTATAAACCCAGTATTGCTAACCATCACCTGGTTGTCAATGGTCAGTAATTCCTAGAAACTACAATGTACTTCATCTCTGTAAAACAAGATGGGATTAAAAATGGTATTATTTTCCCTCTACATCGCGACTAAGATGTTATGAGTCGCCTGAATATAAAATCTACTCTAGGTTGCAATCAGCTACCTAAGGAGCCGACTTAGTGACTGTCGGTGCCTCTACAACACTTCGCGCAAAATGGTGGGCTGTTCCAAGTAAAGCAATTTTTTGCACTTCCCAGTATTTTGAAAGACCTGGGAGTTTACCCACGTTCTTACACACATTTTGCGGAACAAATCCCAGAGTTCCGATGAGTACGACCTGTGCTTTTACGCCTCACATTCGGCTGATTTCGATTTCCTAACGCTTGTAATTAAGACGTTTCTCTGCCTCCTTGGTTACGACTTGGAACGCAAGGCACAGCGACATCTACAAGCTGGCTCGTTTTTTTCTCCAAATCCGGGATAACAATATCCGGTTTGTTTGCTGCTATCGTGCGATCCATTTGAATTTTATTATTATTATTATTTTTATTATTATTATTTTTATTATTATTATTTTTATTATTATTATTTTTATTATTATTATTAATTAT